AACTGGAGGAGCAATGCCAGAGACCTGCAAAATGACCTCTAGCAGACCACTAATGTGCATACCTCTGCACAGACGATTAGAAACCAACTCCATGAGGAAGTTATGAGGGCCCAACGTCCACAGATGGCGTTGTGCTCACAGCCCAACACCTTACAGGATGCTTGGCATTTATTAGAGAACACCAGGACTGGCAAATTTGCCACTGGCACCCTGTGCTCTTCATAGGTGATAGCAGATTCCCACTAAGAACATGTGATAGACGTGACAGATTCTGGAGAGAGCGATCTGCTGCCTCCAACATCCTTCAGCATGACCGGGTTGGTAATGTGGTGGCATGTCTTTGGAGAGCCGCACAGACAATCATGTGCTCCCCAGAGGTAGCATGACTGAGATTAGGTCCTCAGACCCCTTGTTAGACCATTTGCTGGTGCGGTTGGCCCTTGGTTCCTCCTAATGCAGGACAAAGCTTTACCTCATGTGGCTGGTGTGTGTCAGCAGTTCCTGCAAGATGAAGGCATTAAAGCTATGGACTGCACCGTTCCCCAGACCTGAATCAGACCAAGTACATATCTCGATTCATCCACCGACGTCACATTTCACCACAGACTGCCCAGGAGTTGGAGGATGCTTTATTTCAGGTCTGGGAGGAGATTCCCCAGGAGATCATCCACCACCTCATCAGGAGCATGCCCAAGCATTTTAGGGAGGTCATACAGGAGGCCACACACAATACTGAGCTTCATTTTGACCTGTTTTGATACATTACATATAAGTTGGATCAGCCTGTTGTGTGTTCTTGCACTTAAATTTTGTATGCGACTCCAAATCCCAGCCTGCATTGGTTAATAGAGTTGATGATGATTTATTTTTTTTGTGATTTTGTTCTCAGCACATTCAACTTTGTACAGAACTTCAATGAGAATATTTTATTCATTCAGATTTAAAATGTGTTATTTAAGTGTTTCCTTCATTTTTTTGAGCAGTGTATAAAAGAATCACTTTGTGTGGGGGGGGAAACTGATGCTGTTTATAATATTTTAGCACCTGTGGTGTATTGATTTTATCGAAATGTTTGTATATTCAAGCAACGGTTTAGCTCATGAATATAATTTTCTGGGTCTGAAGTTGAAAAGTTTGGTAAACTTGGGCTTATTTGGTTGTCAGCTGGAGTGTTTGTTCAGGTATATGATCTTTTTTGTAAGGATGTGAAAGTGAAATGGGAATGTGTGTCTAACAGCAGGGGGACGATTGCCTTCATAGCTTTTGGAAACGGATTGTTCCTTGTGACCGGATTGTTTTGTGATCATCTAAACATTATCCAGCCAGTCTCCATATAAAGTAATTCTGGGACATTCTTTCTTTCTTTTTATAAAGTTTTTTATCATGATGAACCATTTAGGACATCATGGAGATGTTGGCATAGTGATGCTGTCAGCTTATTGACATTATTTTACTTTTTTGTTTTCTTTGCTTACATAAACTGTTTGAATTTAACCGACCCCTTTTAGCAGCTCCTCCCATTCACATGTTGCAATGTGTCAGTTAGAAAGAACAACAGGCAAGTCATGATAGAAGAAGCTGTCTCTGCAGTACCGGGAAACTCTCAGCTCCTCCTACTATGCTCAGGGTACAAGCCTTCGGTTCATATTTGAACATGTTAGTGGAAGGGTGAAATATAAGTCATGTTTGAATAAAATGGAGACATGCATGATCAAACGCATGACAGCACAGAGACGGATGCAGTTAGTCAAACATACAAGAAAACAGCAGTCTCAAAGCTCTGACTGTGAGCCATATAGTTACTTACGTTTTATTTTTTGAAGACCGCTTGGATAGATTAGTGGATGAAAAAGTAAGTGGACTCACATTTTCCACAATGCATCTTGAAAAGTGGTGTACATTGATGTCATTAGAAAAACAGATGTATCTCACAATGCCTAACAAAGCAAAATGGGATCTGTTTTGAGGGCAAAAGAGAACAAAGAGGGTGCAGTAACTGTGCAGGGAGCCCGAGTCACATGACAAACGGGCTGTGAAAAGTAGTGATCATGTGTCTGAACATTCAGTTAACTAAGCCCAATATATAGTGATTTATGGGTTAGGGCAGACGTTCGGACACAGCCTTGGTATTGATTGGACTAAGGAGCTAATAGTGGATCTGAGGAGGACAAAAACACATGTGACCCCTATTTCCATCCAGGGGGTTTTCTGTTGACACTGTGGAGGAGTATAGGTACCTGGGAGTGTGCTTTAACAATAAGTTGGACTGGACTAGAAACCCCGAGGCGGTTTACAAAAAGGGCCAAAGCCGACTATTCTTCCTGAGGGGCTGAGTCCTTTAACATCTGTGGGGCAATGCTGAGGATGTTTTATGAGTCTGTTGCTAGCATGCTCTTCTTTGCTGTCACATGCTGTGGGAATTGGGTTGAGGGTCGCTGACAACAACAGACTGAATAAACTGATCAGGAGGGCCGGTGATGTTGTGGGGGAGGAGCTGGACACTCTTATTCTGATTATAAGCCGAGTTGGGGGGAGCATGTAGATATGGAATGAAAGGGGCCCTAAGATTGAATCTTGCGGAACACCAAATGTGATTTTTTTTTTTTTTTTTTTTGGTGCTGTGATGTAAAATTTCCTACTGGCACTAACCAGTCTTGTCTAGTAAACCAGTCAGTTTTATATATACCATCACTCTGGTCCTTCCACATTCTGCATTTATATGGGTGTCATTGAACACCTGGACAAGGGCGGTCTCTGGTAAGCAAGCAGCTAGTCATTGTTAGGACGGTATTTAGCTGCTGAAACACAGCTTCTTTAATTGTGTTATTCATCAGTTAGATGAATAAGACAGTTGATCCAGTTCTAGTTTAACCATGGGTGTGTTACCACTATCTGTTGGGTACCCGAGTAGAGGATGAACCTTTACCTCCTGAGCCACTATCATCCTCATTGTCAGTCTTCATGTTGTCTGAAGAGCTGGTGGTTTATAGCAGCTCGGCAGTCTTTCTGACAAATTTTGATTTAGAACTTCTGTTTTCACAGCAGGATTTGCTTCCATCTCTCAGCTCCTTTGCGCATTTAGGAGAGTTTGACTTGTTTCTACAAGCTCATTCTTGTGTTTAAGCACCGGTTAGGAGACCTTTGTTTAGAGGGAGTGCAGACCACAGCTGACGTGTAACAGGCCTGTCTGTCACTCTTATTTTTAGATGTTTTTGTCTTTGAATGCGAAGAAAAGAAAATATAGAGAAATAGTTCTGCCAATAAGGACAAACTATTTCTAGAGACGAGGATTCTTGTCCTGGTACTCATGTTTGTGCTTTGTTGCTTGGTAAGCACCACAGGTTCTGTTCTGGGAGCAGGAGCAGAACGGTTAGGTGGTAGCTGCTATGTACGTCAACAAAAAACAGAACTTATGACCTTGCCAATCTGAGGAGCTTTTCCATTTGTTCTCAGGGGTCAGAATATGTGGTGACATATTGAGAACTTTTTAATGATTATTATACCATCTAATGTTGGGCGCCTGGAACAATATCAATAATGATGGAATCAGCCCTTCAATGATAATTTTTCAGAACTTTTACCAGTGAAAGGCCACTCCAGCTGTTACAGATATGATTTTAACAAAAAAAAAAATATATATACAAAATTATACTAAAACATAAAATTGTCTCCTTTTCATTAAAAAAAATATTATCCCTCCCAGTTTTCAGTCTGTTTGATTTTGCATATTGAGGTAAACAAATGAATAACGATCAAAAACTATAATGTCTCATAACATAGTGAGAACAACTGGAAGAGGAAACTAGTCCCACTGGATGAAACCTATACAATTTTGACAATAAAATAAGCATGTTTAACTTATTGGGTTTAAGCAGTGTGTGCAGGTGGTTAACAATATTACAAGCGGCTCAGAGGAATACGCTCTGAAGGGTCCTCGTCTTTGGCCACAGATTCGCCTCCATGAATATATCGCCCATCGCCATTTGTAGGACTGACAAATATTGGATGGAAAATGTGTAAATATCGCCCAACCTTAATACCACCTCACATTTGTGGTACAAAAATTGAACTCGGGTCCCAGTTTAATAAGCTTAATATTTAAGAACAGAGAGAGAGAGAGAAATAGAGTAAACTGAAAACGGTACATCCACTTGGTTCCATCCGATCCGCAATCAGAGCAGCTGTCTATCAGGAGCTGCTTCCTTCTTCTCTCTTTCTGTAGATATGCTCCCAGCAGTGTTCGGTACCAACCTGCACTTTCAAACAAACCATTACCTACTTTAATCACCATAGTGTTAAAGTCTGTAGTCTCTATTTGGTTCCCCTGTATTCTACTTTATTGTGAAGGTCCTTTCTGATGTCTGTTCATTCCTTGGAGAAACTCAGAAAACCACAGTTTGAGTTTCCGGGTACAGTTAGCATCTTTTCTTTTATCTTCCATCTGGCTTCAACATTTTAAGGTTTTATTTTCCGTTTTTACTTCAAAGTTTGCAGACAGCAAGAACAGAGCTTTGCATTTAAAGAATTTCAAGCTTATCATGGTGAAATCATCTCTCTCCTGACTATATTAAAATGCCATATCAACAAGTTAGCATCATTCTCAGGGATCTAAAACAACTGGGTATAAGAAAAGAATAAGATGAGTTGACTGAATATATATGTGGGAGTCTGTTAGTTGTTGAGCTGCTGGTTTTTCCATAAACAGACATTCAGGCTTGGTGCTCTTATTTCCTCATGACTCATGTTTTCCTGGTTCAGGGAATCATCCTCTGTAGCACTCTGCTTTTCTCCTGCTGCAGCAGCAAACTGAAGCTAACCGTCTTAAACCCTGAGCTTTAAGTGGGATGGTGGGACAGTGATGTTCTGAAACATTTTTTTCTGCTCCGGATATGAGAGCTTTGCTCTCTATTTACCCCTGGTGGCATTATTGGATTAATCTTAGTGTAAATCATTGAATGTTTTATCTACTGGTGTTAATTTCCTCTCTCTCTTCCCTGCAGGAGATGACCATCCCCTGGTGCCTAAAGCGAGCAGAGCTGGTGTTCAAATGTGTCAAAGGTAAAGTAACCAAGCGGATGCAATAATCAGATGGACGTTTAACCCTCAGTCTGTACGTCTCTCGTCTTTTGATAAGTGGAAACAACCAATGTTGCGGTCCCTTAAATCAAAGTTGGTCTTTGCTCTGTCTGAGCGTCTCGTTTGCAAAGCTTACAACAGAAGTAATAAAACTCAGCAAACAGACACGTGTTCAGCAGAAGAGCTGGATGCTTTCTGTTTCCAGTGCTGATTGGTTGGGTCGTTGCTACTGTTATGGTAAAATAAACCTTGAAGGACGTCCAGGAGAAGATTTTTACTTTCTTACAGAATTCTTCAGTTTCTTCCCTTTTTTCCCTCAACCCTAAACTTAATATCTTTGGATCATTTCTGTGTAGCAGAACCAAATGTTTCAGAGCTCAAGGTCACATACTGATGGACATTCTTCTGCAGGGGATTCCTAGTTACCCATAACAGCAGTTTCTAAAGCAGCCTATAGCAGCCTCACAAACGTATTTAAAGTTTATGCAGCAGGACTCACAGCTTCCAAAAAAATGTCCAGTTTTTTCCAATCTGTCCACTGAATATGTTTGTTATGATGTTTGTCCTTAGAAACGGTAATGTAATCCAGTACATTTCCATGGAGGTGTCCATATGTAATTTCTGCTCAGTCTCTCATTCCCGTTGTTAGATATTGACCTCTGTGACTTTTCACCTTAAATGAGACGGTAAGGCGTGCAGAGCTTTGTGTGTTCTGGGTTCCTCTGTGGCCTCCTGGATGAGCTTTTGGAGTAAGGTTGGTAGGTCAGGCTCTCCACTCCGTGTTCTCCAAGTGGGGATGATGGTTCTCACTGTGGCTCTTTGGAGTCTAGATCCTTTGGAATGGTTCTGTAACCCTCCAGACTGAATGTTAGCTCTGTTCTTGAACTTTTATTTTAAGATTTGGACTTCATGTTGCTTTTTTTTTTTTTTATCTTTTAGGCTTCTTGCTGTTGTCAGACAGGTTCTACTTTAGTAATTTCTTGATTGTAACTGAACCAGCTTTCCAAAATATGGTTAATAACAGTTCATGAGGCAAATTATATTTTAACATGAGGGATGTTTTTTTTTTTTTTTGCTTAAAAGTTGCATAAATATTCCCTAAACAAATAAATCCTAATCAATTTTACTCCTTTTTTGTGTGTGAAACATTAAATTAGTTTAAACACAAACGCAGGCATGAGTGATGTTATTGAAAGGCTTTTATCTCGCCTCAGCAGGTGTGTCAGTAATTCTTGAGGGGGCTGAAAATGTAAAGAAGTTTAGGAACGTTTCTCAGACGACATGCCTTTACTCTGCAGTCTGAGCGCCGCAGAGAGGACACACAGCTCGCTGTGCCTCGGGAATTAGATGCTTTGCCTTAGTTTTGTCTTCACACCCTAATGTTTCCTGGTGTTCAACATTCTTTTCTCCTGCTTTATCTTCAGGGTTCATGATGGAGATGGCGTCGTGGGATGGAGGTATTTCCCGCACTGTTCAGTTTCTGGTACCAAAGGTGAGATCAAACTTTGCTGCAACAGGAATGCTTGTTTGTTGGCAGTAACCATGTGTATATATTAATAGTCAGAGAGTTTATCATTTGACTCAGCCAGGCTGTACTTCAGACTATCAGCTCCAAAGCTCTGATATTCTTCTGGAGCTGATACAAGGATCTCCTCTTTATTTTTAGTTGACCTCTGAGCAGCTATTGGAAACAGTCATATCCACTGCTGCCACGCACGTGGTCACGGTGGCTCCTTAGTCATTTAGTTGACCTGATATTTAGCCTTCAAGCAGGGAAACCTTTGCATGCAGAATCTTTATTTCTGTTTTCCAGCTTTAAGCAAAAGAATCCCAATTGTTCTTTGATTGATTACCTTCAAGCGACGCTTCAGGTGATTGAAAAAGGAGCTAAAAGAAACAAAAGGCCCACCTGGAGGAGGAGGGAGAGCTGAGTGTTTGAAAAGCTCACCTTAAATCATAGATTATGGAGCTTAGCTTTCTTTTTCTCTCTGTTTACATGGCCCTGATGAAAGAAAGCACTCTGAGCATGTGTGATAAGAGCTGGGATTAAAGGGCATCGTTTCAACTCTGTGTTCTTAAGGAGTGACATGTTTCAGCTCAGTTATGGCATTGTTAGCGTCATTAAGTTCTTAAAGCTTCACATGCTAAACGGCCAAATATTCCCATTTTTACTGAACCTGTAAAAGGTTCAGATCCAGTGCTAAACCCCCCCTAAGTGGGGTTTTAGTTTGAGTTTAGCTGGAGGCTCTGTGCCTCCAGCTTCTCTGAGGTTTGTCAGGGTTTGTCTCTGAGCGCTCAGATGGCCTCATCTACAGCTCAGAGCTGAAGTCTGTCCAAACGTTTATAGTATGGTTTCTGTTTCTGCTTTAAAAGTCGCAGCTCATGCAATGAAACCAGCTGAATCCTTCAGCCTGTTGTCCAACATACAAAACCTGGATGTTAACAGCCAAACCTCCCCCGTTAGCGTGAGATCAATTCAGGTCTTTTCTCTTTAGATCCTCATCGCTGCATAAAGCTCCATCATCCCTTTGTCTCCTCTAATCCTCGCTGTTTGTCTCTCTTTCTGTCTCCAGAGTATATCAGAGGAGATGTTCTACCAGCTGAGCAACATGCTGCCCCAAATCTTCCGCGTCTCTTCAACACTAACCCTCACTTCCAAGCACTGATGTGTAGACGGCCAAGCAATGCATCTTCAAGATCATTTAGAGGTTTCATGAAGTTATCAATATTATGACTTGATAGAGACATCTTACTGCAGCGAGTTTGCAGAAAATAAAGGTAATTGGGACCTAAAGCTTTTTAGGTCCCGTTTTCAGCATTTCAAAACTACACAAACTGAACTTATTGAAATCCATTTTCCTTAACTTTAAAGAAAAATAATCACTTTCACTTTAAAGTATATAAGTTACAGAACTGTTATATATTTCTAAAGATGTTGATAGTTTGAAGTTTAAGTCAGTTGAATTTTAAATGATCCTTTCTAACACAAAAAGGCTTTTGATCCAAAACTTCTAAAGCAGGAAGCTTTTCTATATATGGATGATTAGGAATCATATAAAAATCTCACAGTTGAAGGAATTTTTATATATATGGATATATATATATATATCTATATATAGGGACCTTATGTTAGAGAAATGTATGTCAACAATGAGCACTTCTTCGACAAGGGTGATCTACGCAGGCAGCATAGCTGAGCGCGGTGGGAATTGACCAAGAAAAAAAATTGCTGCAATAGCCTTCCCCAACTTAGATCATCAATTTTCTGCCTTTCTTTCCATCCACATCTGGCATCAGATTTTAAATGACTTTCGGACCAAAGCACATGCTGTGGGCATGCTAATGGCAGATGGACACAGATCCTTAGAGCTGTGACAGACTGCAGACCTGCAGTTAAACCATTATAGGTAAGAGATGCACTGAAAGAGATGTGCCCAGCTGTAAAAGGGCTCACTGATGTCTTGTAGGCTGATGTAGCAGCTTTAGAGAGCTAAGCGCTATATGAGAAGCTTTGCACTTCAGAGCAGCAGAAAGTATTGCATCCAAGCTGACGTTGGGTAGATTTTCAGTGTTTGGATTTCATTCTGCAGCTGGCTCAGACATCACTGTGATAAGAATTTCAGACAACTGACCTGAGAGCTTTTACATGCCTCCATTGGATACCCGTTTGTTAAGTCTCTAAGCTGGCTTCCCACGCATCATTTTCCAAGAAAACACAAATTTAAGCAGCAGACTTCTCCTTCCCTGCTCTTATCCAAGTAGGATATTGCTGCTGTGGTTTGAAGTCAGAGTTCAACTTCCCAAAATGTCGGATAGGCTCTTTTGCAGCATTTTCTGCAGCTCTTTCTCTCATTCTTTTTGCCCTCATTCATTTTCAGCCTTCAGTGCATAAAGCTGCGGCTGCTTCGCTCTGGCTCACCTGTCAGCTATGAGTCTGAGGAAACGTTTGTGTTTCCATCAGGCAGTGCGCATCATAGGAGACACTTTGCTGCCCAGGTCTAGTAGGTGTTGGAAATGATCCCAGCTGATCTAGAGGATGGATGCAGCAGGAAGGCTGATGACTGGATTACGCAGACTTTATGTGGCTGAGAAAGCATTAACAGGTTTTATAGCTGCCACCTGTCAAACAGGTTTATTATCCAATAATAAGGTGTAATCCCTCAAAGGCTTGAGTATTTTCTTTTATTTTTTTTTGCTACAATGAGCTGAAATGCAGGTTTGCCGTTTATCTTCTGCCACTTTTCTGCAAACTTGCTGTATGTGGATCTTCCTAAGAAATATGGTTCTTTACCTGCTTGCAACTTGTAAGAACACTGGAAATTTGTTCATCCGACCTAGCTTCATAAATCTGAACTCCTTTAAAGTGTGTAGAGCAATGGAGACAGGGGACCAGTTACTGTATCATAGGGATGTGGAGAACTTGCTGATAAAAGCAGATGCACTGAAGCAGCGAAACAGGAAGTGCAGGACGGATGGAGGCGAGAGGACAAGTCAGTGGCTCAGACGGTTTTCTACACAGAGTTCTACAGGAGTGTGCTGAACGATGATCAGATCTGGGCTCGCTTCAGCAACTGCAATCATTTTGTTTCCCTGAGCTTCGTCCGTTCACCTCCAAATTTTCATCCATTCAGCAATTACTACATGGTTGGATAATTGTAGATTTTCATCTCATGCGTGATTGTCTTTTTGTCAAGATAAACTGAATGAACTAATTTCTGGTTGTAATAAAGACATTAGAACAAGCTGTTTGTGTGTATTTTTTATTGTTAATGTAGAGAAACAGATTGTTTCTATTTGAGACAGTAGGGGGAGCTGTTCCTAAATACACACATGGTTACACCAGTTGACAGACAAGTTAAAGGGTCTACAGAGTTTTTTTTTAGTTTTTTTATTTAAGCTATATCTGAATCTCAAAGTTATAATAAAGAACGCCGGGACTCCACCCCTGTGTTGCTCTTCATGATTCACACATTGGCTCCCGGAGGGGGTGGGGGTGCTTCTGCTGGTAGCTTGGAGCGGATTTAGTTTGTTTTGATGCATGTCATCTTCTGAAGTTATGATCCACTCAGTGGGATTAAATTCCAGTGGATGATCAGTTCAGCTTGTCAGGTTTGCGAGAGCTTCGCTTGGGTCATAATTAAAGGATCACAGCCAATCGAAGTAAGAGCAGTGAACAAGATCTGCTAAATGCTCAAGTGTTTGAGTCTGACCTTCAGGCAGCTAAACTGGAGGAAGAAGTGCTGCCCAGCTTCAGTTATTAGCTGTCTGGCAAATTCAAACTGAGGTTTCATCCCTGCCATTATAGACCACTAGATTATAAACTGATGGGAAAATGAGACGTATGAGTCTTCACGGGAAAACTGACACTCTTTTCTTTGGGAACACCTTTTCCTGCCTGACACAAAAGAAAAGACTGGTTTAAGATGACTTTATCTCACATCTGCTGTAAAAAACACACAAAAAAACTAAAAGCCCACCATCATTTATGAGAACCTTTTAGAATATTGATCAATGAGTAATATAAAGTTAAAACTGAAAGAAATTGTCGAAAGAATAAAAAAAACTTCAGACACTGAACATCTAATATGATCTAATGAAAAGCAAAAAATTTATGCTTTTAGTTAATTAGTTCCAATGAATTACAAGACTATTGCTGCTGAAGAAATGAAACATCCTCATTATTCAGCAAGTGCCTTTACAACCTTATTACCAAGAATATTTAAAATGAAATAAACTGAGAAAGAAAATGATATAAGAGGTCCAGACTCTGAGATGCCATGTCTGTGTTACAGAGTCAGCTCCCCAAAGACTCCTCTGACCTGGTTTTCATTGCAAGGCTCCAGTCATCAATGGGTCAGGAAAATGCTCTAATATCTGCTTTTAAACTTAACGCCTTAGTATCACATCAGCAGCTGATCACATACTACAAACTCTGACTCGGGTTGATAGCAGCACTAAAAGTCTTCCTCTTTAGATCAGAGGATGCAAAGATCTGAAATTAAAAAATGAATAAAGGGGCATCTCTGCAGCTTTGAACGTTTACAGACTTTGTTTCCTCATGGACAATTTAATCTCTCAGACTCAATGGATAACATCAGTTTTCAGGTAGGTGATATATTCTGGGCTTTGACTAGGCCATTCTAAACCATCCGTTATATCTCTGGCTAGTTGGCCTGCTGGAAGGTAAACTTTCACCATAGTCTTAGGTCTCCCCCAGCCTCGAAAACAGAGGACTGAGATTTCAGTCCAATGTCAACGTCCTGCAATCTGTGGATGCATCCTTGCTATCAACAAATCGTGATTAATTGAAATAATTGTCAACTAATTTTGTAATCAACCATTGTGGTGTTTAGTGACTCTAAAACATGCTTTTAGCAGTAACTATACCAAGATTGTAAAAAATAATTAAACATTTTATATTTAAGATAAAGGAAATACATATTTTCGTCTGTCAATATGCTCCAGCCAGAACAGTGAAAAAAGTTTGAGTTTCACCTGGTTTAATTTGGTAAAAAATGTTTTTTTTTCAGCAATCTTTGGCTATCCTATTATTAATCGATTAAATGGAAAAATAATCAGATTAATCATTTGCAAAATAATAATTTGTTGAAGCCCTTATTTCTAGGCAGATTTCACTGATAAAAACGTCTTATTTTGGCATTCAAAGTGATAATTACGCAGTCGAACTTCTTTATTGTGAGCGCCAGATTCTTGTGGATTAAAATCAACATTAGCAAACACATTTTTAATTGTTTTTATTTTTGTTTGTTTTTTGTTGCTATTGATGCCACCACTTCCGGTACTGGGTACATTTTTCGTATTAAAAAAATAAGGGTACGACGGGCTGCTGTGAGTTCTTTTAATAATTGCTACAGTGTCTCGTGTTTGGTATAACATTTGGTTTTTCTTACAACTATTTTGAATATTTAGCGGCAATATAGACTGTTCGTTTATTAGTCCGTCAAATAAGGCGCTGTTCATTTTTGTGGAATTTCACTTTGAAAATCCAAACCCGGAAGTAGTTTCCACAGCAGCGCCAGCCTGACAGCTGCAGTCTCAGCTGGATAGTCGGATCTGCTCCGTGGAAGTTGAGCAACAGCGGTCCGCCTGGATCGAGTCAGCGAGGCACTGCGTGGATTCCCCGGACCTCCGCGGAAACTTAGGGCGAAGATTCCGCCCAGGAAAGTCCATCCTTACAGCTCGGTGTTCATCTGTTGAAGGTACCATTTTCATTAAAACATTAACTGCTCGTTATTCGGTAGTTTCTAACTTACGGTTAGTGCTTAAACTTATTCATTGTGTGCTGGTTTTTTCCCGTCCACCGCCTTGAAACCGCAGACAGCCGTTTCATCATTTTACCCGAGCTTCGTAGTTTAGCGCCGTCTTTAAACGCGGTTTGGTGATTAGGTTGACCCACGGTGTGATAGCGGTTGAGCCTGCGGCTAGAAGGTGTGCGGTTAGCCCGCCTACAGCAGCAGCAGCAGCGGGCTCCTCTCTGAAAGTTGTCCCGCTTAGCGGCTCCTCACTCCGGGCTCCGGGATCTCTGACACGCCGCTGGGAATCACGACGGCAGAAGATGGTTCGTATCTGACCGGGAAAGGGCTTCTGTCCATGGGGTGGGTCTCTGGAGGAGGCCGTAGTGATGAGACCTTAATGGAAAGTTACAAACTCCTCAGGGCTAAAAAAGTGGCACTGATTGGAGGCTTTATATTTTAGACAAATGATGAATAAACCCACCCTGGAACATGTTTTCAGAACTCAACATCATTCAGATCTTTTATTTATATTTAGAACATGTGGATATGTTATTTACTTAAGTAATCTGTAAAAAAATAAATAAACACCTTAAACTACTGTTCAGAAAGAGCAGTTATTAACTTTAAATTGATGCTAAGATTTGACTAAAAATCAGAACCAGAATTACTCAAAGCTGAATCATTAACAACTTTTTAGTTACTGGAATAAATCTAATAATTATTTTTAAATAATCAAGGGAACAATTGATCATTATTGTAAAAAATACAAAAAAAAACATTTGAATGATCATCTAATTAACAGTGTTGTAGATAAAAATTTGAAAACTGAGTGGAATAATTGGTCAAACCGGTTCTAAACAAAGAAACTAACTTAATTTAAATTCAGTAATAGATGATAAGTTATATGTATTTTTGCTCCTGGAGTTTAAGCTTGTCAGAAGTTGTGAAATGAAAACACTAAAAGTTGCTTCATCTCAAGATTTATTTTCAGATATGAAGACATTACAGATAAAGCCTGAAATCAATATAAGGATGTGGTCATGGTTTCAATCAATTAGGATGTAGATGGTTGGAAAGATGAAATAACAGATGTTCCGGTTGATTTGAAGGTATTTTGATAAATCGAAAAAAAAAACTATCTGTAACAGCAACTCCTGGCTGTTGATGACAAGAAAAAAAAGAAGGAAAAAAAAACAGAAGAGGAAGCATTTAAAGATAAGTTTTGTTTTCCAAAGTGGTTCAACTTCTTCCTTCAAAGGTAAATCAAGGTCAGTTATTGAGGAAACGATGCAGCAGCCCAAACAGCAGCTGCACGCTCGCTGATCTTCGCCTCAAATAAAAACGGGTTGATTCTTGGGGTGTTTTGGGTTGAGGTGGTAACGGAGCATGTTCAGGAAGACCTGATACGTCTGTACGGTGAAGGTAAAATTTGTTTTAAACAGGTGGCAGCCATGTTTGATTTACATGCCCAGGTCGGTTAGAAATGTTTCTGTTTTTCAAATCTGTCTGTATTTGTGAGCTTCATATTCCCTGAGGCGTTTCTTCTTTAAAAAAAAGGATTGGACAAAAGCACTTCAGCAGTAGCTTCTAAAAACTTCACAGCTAGAGACGTATTGTTTTACTCACCAACTGCTAAAGACAGATTACTGTTGTGTCTCCCAGATATCCAGCAGTCAGAGATGACAGACTTAGATCAGGGTGGATTCTTCCATCGTTTTATGTGGAGAAACTAGAGCCCTGGAAGTTAAACTGGTCGGACTCTGTGAGTTTCCATGGGGGATCAGAAGGTTAAACAGCTCTAACCCATGACAGAGGAGCTTTTATTGTCATCATGATCCAGACTCTAACATCATACAAAGACCTCTCCCCCCTTTCATGGCTGCTCTGGGTCTTATTGATTCCTCCTTTGGAAATGGACTCTCCTCTGAAACTGGCTTTGCTCTGGCAGCTCTTCTCTTCTATGGAGGATTTAGTTACACGGAACAGATCAGATCCTTTTATGTTCTGTGATATTTTAGAGCTGAACTGTGTTTTATCTGTGGGCTCCTGACGGCCCGCTGCATTTGCATCCAGAGGTTTGAGCTGAACCCATCAGTGGCATTTCTTCACGGTGATCAGAGATCTTCCAGCGGTCACATTGTTGGCCTTTCCTACTGGTTCGGTTTCTACGCAGGAGGCTTTTGTCCAGATCAACTGTCCCAAAGTGACTTGGTAAAAAAAAAAAGTGTCTTCACTCGGGATGCTGGGCTATTCGCTGAGGGTCCTTGGTTCCCGGACAGGCTGCGGATAATCAGCCAGGACGCCGAGCTGCTTAGGCCGCCTGACGGCTTGGCTGTTTTAATCGCTTCTAAAGCTGTTTATCTGCACAGGCCTCTCCGTGCCTACCTGGCTCCTCTGGTTAAAAACAGGTGGTGGATTATGTGAGGTGTGTGAGAAACGTCTGATCTGAAGAGCCTGAAATAAAGCCACTGCTGGTTT